TTTGTCACAGTGCTCAGTGTTGTGAAGCCTAAGTGTTTTTACAAAGAAAGTTTTACCTGTTTGATTTGTCATTATATCCAACGATACCCAGCCATCAATCAATTTTTAACTTTAACATTTAAAAATTTGTCCCCTGGAAAGTAGAACAAAGTTTTTATCCTTTAGCTTTGCAAAGTTGCCTTGCTTTTAAAACTCTGTTGAGATCTCAGGTATTTCATTGAAATGGAACTATATCTTATCAAGAGAGGTATCTTTAGGCTACTCTAGACTATGACCATTTATATGTAAAGTGAGGGCCTTGTTTTATTTCATGAAGTGAAGCTCTTTACCTTTGAAGGGTTAAAATATTTATATAGGAATAATGAGAGCTTAGCGTATTGAATGGGGCACTGGAACTTGAGTCAGGAAGGCCTCCATTCACATCCTTCCTCCCATACTTCTTAGCTAGGTAAGTGGATGAGGGGGTCAGACTCAGTGACCGCCAAGGTCCCTTACAGCCCCAAGTCTAAAATCCTTTGAGTTACAACAAATAGAATTATTTCTTTGTGTGGCCAAAGATCCCAGTATGGTGCCTTGCTAAGAGTAGTCATTTGGTAAATTTTTTTTTGTTTGATTCATGATCAAAGCCAGAAAATGGTAGTCATTACTATCTCAATACTGCTTTATGGTCTTAGAATATTTAACTTTTGTAGGGTAGTTTTTGCTTGGTAATAGACAGTTTCCCCCAATAATCTTCTATATAACTTCAATATTCCTGAAAAATCTGTCCCTTGCCAATTAAAACTATGATTTTGAAAAGAAATTCTAATGCCAATTTTGAAAATACACCATAGGCTTATATATCTGATTATCATGGTTTCTGATGTTAAATTAGAACGAGATACATAGTCCAAGACTGTCCTGAGTTTTGGCTTGCTAACTGGATATTACTGTGTTGCATTAATGATTTATCTTTCTTCTCTAGCCCTGATAATGTCTTCGATTTGTCCAGAGAACTTTATTAATTTATACTAGTAATTTTAAGTAAACTTGCATGAATCATGCAATATCAGGATTTGTCATCAAATAAGAATTTATTAAGTGCTTACTCTGCGTCAGGCATTGTGAGAATCACTAAGGATATTAAAAAAAAAGGTTTAAAAAAAAAACAACCAAAAATATGGTCCCTGCCCTTTAGTTTTGAACTGTGGTGGAAACTGTGTTGAGAGATGTTGTGAAGTAAAAGTAACAACACTTGGCATCCTTGAGGATAATACTGCAGTTGCGAGCTTGGGTGGCTGGAAGGATGGTGTTGCCCCCAACAGTAATAGCAAAGTTAGTAAGTGAAGACAGTCTGGGGGGAAAGTTGAGTTCCATTTTAAATATGTTGAGTTTGAGATTCCTGTGGAACAGTGAAGTTCAAGATATCCAAGATGTAGTTAGTTGGTGATCAGACTAGAACTCAGGATAGAAGTTAGAGCTGGATAAATAGATCTGAGAATCAGGTCATGGGGTCCACCCCTTATGAAAAGCAATTTGGAACTGTTGGGAAGTCTCTGAAGTAAGGACCAAAGCACATAGCCTGGATTGAGGTAATGCAGCGTCAAAAATAATGATTAAAGCAAGCCCTGCTTTTTCTCTCCTAATTTCATATAAAGGAAACAAAAGACATTGAATATCAAAGCTAATAATTTGAATTCAGGATTTGCATTAATACAGCCATATTTTTATGACCTAGTTATCAAAATATCCCCATATTTAACTTTTTTCCCCTTAAGTAGCCCTTGGTTTCCCCAAAGGAATATCTAGTACAGGAAAAAGAGAGGTGTATTATGAAGGAAATTAAGTTTACAAGAGAACAAAACATATTGAAATTCTACTGTGATTTAAGTGTCTTTTGTCATTTGGGGGAAAGTCCTAGTCACAATGTTCACCTGACATATTTTGTTATTATACAGGATTTATTTTTATCAGTGATAGTGTTTTTGAAAGCATAAAACACTCAGTAGTAAATATCTTAGTCTCTCAAGATGTGCAAACAGTAGTTAGAGAGATTTTTAAAAATTTAGCTCTAGCTTTCACTTTGTGCTCTAAATAATAGAATAGTGCTTAACTAGCTTATTTATTCTTTAGTACTTTCTTGAAAAGAATTAGCTCAGTGGTTCACCAGTCACAGCTTAAAATGGCCATTGTTCTTTTCAGCTGTTGAGTGTTTTCTTCTTTTGTGTGATATTTGGGTTTACCATACATTACTCCAAACAACACCAGAAAAGAACCTTTTGGTTGTTCTTGCTGAATTGCATCACTTTTGTAAAATCACATGCACTGAGCTGGAAAGGAATTTCTAGGCTTCAGTGAAGTTGTACTTTGAATGGGGTTGGATTCATATACATTGTTGAGTTAATTATGTCTTTTTATTAATAACTGCCCAGTGTTGTCAATAAAAAACTCATGACTGTTAAGTTAATTACATTTTCATGGGAAATTCACTGCCACTTTGCACTGAATCAATTTACTGATCTACCATTTGATATTGTGGTCATCTTTAAATTAGATTTATTTGTGTAACTATCAATTTATCAGTGAATTGTGCAGTGAAATAGCAGATAGCAAACCAACATGACTTGTAGAGGGCCCAGTGTAATATAATACATCTTTCACACTGTCATTGTTTATGTTTTATATTTTTTCATGGTCTATACTTAATTTGAAAGGAGTATTTTTTCCAGTGTTACAAAGGTTTTCAGTACCTTATTGGCACTTTATGATTTGCAGCCGCACTTCATTGAGTACTTCTAAGAGCCACGGTTTTACCAAAAAGGGCCCTCCCTTCAGATTGCAATTTATAATACCTCTCAAATTGATCCTAAACAGAGTTGCCAAGCTGATATTCCCAAGTAAAGACTGACGGTGTTGCTTTCCTGCTCTATTAAAAATTTTCTGTTTTTCTGGATATACTTTTGAGTTTGTTATGTTTTAAAACATAAATGTTTATAAAATTCCATGTTCATTTGAATGAAGATTAATTCGTATTTATTTCTCTCTACATAACTATCAAATACTGCTTTTTTCAGCCTTTTGTTATGTTTTACATTCTTGCTTATTTTTCTTTTTGATTCATCACATTCTGTTAGGTTTTTTGAAGTACCTTATTGCTTTGCTATCTAATTCTTTTTGCAATTCAGTTAATATTACCTTTAAAATGTAGTTTTTATACTGTTTGTGTGCTAACTTAACATTATTTTATTTTTTCCAATTGTATCTTCAACATAATTCCCATGTTTCTTAATACTTTCTAATTTAAATTCACCCATTATCAAGACTGCAATTCCTGATTTTTTTTTTGGAGTCAGCTGAAACATATGAAAGGATAAGAGTGAGGAATACCTGGATCATCAGAACAATGTAAAAAATAAGGGAGGAGAGGAGAGAAAGGACATGGGTAATGTCACTGTAACACTTCTATCTAGGGTACTAGACATATGAGGAATTTGAAAAAACAAACATAAGATGTGATAGCACAAACTTAGTAATGTTGTTCAGTGTTAGAAATGTGAGTATGAATGGGTTTGTCTATGAACAAAAAGAGTGGTATTGGATTAGTACTAGTAAAAGTAAGGTAGATTGTGTTGCTTATTGATAAAACACATACTATAATAGCCTATGGTAGAAGAAAAATGAAATTTAACAATTACAACATTGAACATAAAAGTACTGAATTCCTAGTATACAGTGTAATAGATGCAATAAATGTAAGAATAGATTTAAAAACTAAACTGAACAATGTTGTCTAAAGGAAAAAGCTTATAAAATAGAGATGTCTAAAATAAGGGGCTGTATACTAATTAGTCTACAAAACATAAATTATATATTATGAACCTAGTATTTAAAAAACTTAACATAAGAAAAATGAAAAATTCAGAGACATGTTAAGTATTATCCTTCTATGAAGACTGTACTAGAATTACCTAGGTTGTATAGTGGATGGAGCAGTGGGCCTGGTGTCAGAAAGACATGAGTTCAGATCCTGCCTCAGACACTTATTAGCTTGTGACTCTGGGGAATTCATATAATCTCTGCCTACCTCAGTTTCCTCAACTGTAAAATTATGATGATAATAATATCATCTACCTACCAGATTTCTTGTGAGGATCAAATGGAAATATTTTTAACACCCTTAGCACAATTCCTGGCACACGGTAGGTGCTTAATAATTAGTTGTTTCCTTTCTCCCTATGATTAAAGTTTCCTTCCTTTTCTTTCAGTAACAAAATCTGAATTTATGATTAATTTGTTTCCCTCTCATCATCAAACAATAATGATGATCACTTCCATTTCCTTTAGATTATAATATGAAGGGAAGGAAATAAGCATTTATGTAGCATCCAGTATGTGCCAGTTGCTGTGCCAAGTGCCTTACAAATATTATCTGGAATAGTTCCTTAATGGCTTAAATTAATTTTTCTACTTGTATACCCAGATAAATATAGTATACAGGTTAATTCTGAAACAACAGAGTATTGTTCTAGTTCTTTTTTGGATTATAATAATAATAATAGCTAGCATTCATTTAGATAGCACTCTAAGGCTTACAAAGAACTTTATAAATATTCTTGTATTTTATCTTTACAACTCTAGAAGGTAGGTGCTATTATTATCTCCATCTAATAGATAAGGAAACTGAGGTAAATTGAAATTAAATCATTTGCTTAGGGCCAAGCTAGTAAGCTAGTGTGTTTTTGAGGTTAGATTTGAGCTTAGGCCTTCCAGACTCTAGTTCCAGTGCTCTTTCCACTGTACCACTTAGCCGCCTCTAAAAATAATAACAAGAATGCAGAATGAAAATTTTACAAAGCACTTGCCGAGAACAATCCTATGACAAAACTAAAGTTCAGAGATGTTAATGACTTGCTCATATGTAAGTGTTGGAGCTGCGTGTGTTCAGAGCAGATTCAAAGCTCTTTCCACTACCTTGTTGGCTTACCCATTCTTTTTTTTTTCCTCTCTCTCTGTCTTAATAGGAGTTGCTAAAAGATCCTTTATATATTGGACTGAGGCAGAAAAGAGTGAGAGGACATGATTATGATGACTTTTTGGATGAATTCATGGAGGCAGTTACTTCCAGGTAAATATGTAATTCTTATTTTACATCTTTCATCAGTATATACTAGGGGGAAAATATTTGAAGGTGGGGGAAAAAAACAAAATAGGAAACTTTTGTGGAATATGAAAGTTAAAAAACATAAAAATTCCAATGGATCAAAGAGAGTTTGGAGTAATTAAATCAGATTTGAGTAACCTGCACCTCCTTGAATTAATTACACATAACTCATGAAATACAAATTGTATGACATATGAAGCATTCCTCCTCAGTTTGCCTCAAAAAAGTAAACATCATATTATGTCTACTTTCTTTCCCTGAACTTCCTCTTTCTTTCAAGGTTCACTGAGAGTATTCTGTATCTCTGATAGATTAGAAATGGGTTTTAGCACCAGATGACTATGAAATGGTAGGGCTATGGTAAATATGACTATGTCTGGAAGCTAAATTGCCTAATACTTATTGAATCACAAATAACACTGAACAGGACTGTATTTCAGTTATCTTCTCTTTGTAGCACCAGAGAGTAGTGGCCGAGAAAGGGGTGGATTCTGAGCATGATTTTAAGAGTATAACCTATTAAGTGTAAAGCACTAAGCCTTCCATATTCAGCCCTTGACAGTTGATGGGCTATAATAGAAAAAAGATTTGCTTTGGTGACTCAGCCAAACCAGGAGGATTGTAGGAGGAAATTACTCAGTAGGCCTTAAGACTTGGTATTCTAAAAGGGGGATTCAGAGAAGAGAGATTGCTTTCTTGCCATGATATTTTCCAAAGTTTGGGGAGCAAGGTAAAGATATCCTGTGAATGACCAAGCAGGGTAGATGGTGTTGGAAAAAGATTTCACTAAGCACTGACTTGTATATTCCATAATTAAGAGCTAATTAAATAGATTCTAAAGGATGAGACTTGACAGCCCTGGCCAGCCAAAACCATGGTAAGAGAACTAAATTATTTTCAGGGGTAGCTAGGTGGCACACTAGAGAGAGTAGAGGCCTTAGAGTCAGGAAGACGAGTTCAAATTCTTCCTCAGATACTTTATACTTGTGTAACCCTGGAAAAGTCCCTTAATCTCAATCTGCCTTAGTTTTGTCACAAGTGAAATGAGGTTATCTACCTTCCTCACAGAATTGTGGTGAGGATCAAATGAGTTTTTGTAAAGTGCTTTTCAAACCTAAAAGTATAATATAAATGTTAACTATTAGTACTGTTATCATCATCATCATCATCATCATTATCAAGGCCAAGACTTGGCAAGTAGAAAGTAGATAGGAGGTAGTTCATGCAGAGTAGGCCAAATATCCCATTAAAAAGAATTGAGCAAAATATTTTTCTCTTGCCCCTTTCAATCATTCACTGCTATAAACCCTCCTCTTAGGTTTCCCTTTATTTCTTCATAGTAAATCCCCATTAAACCACTTGAGAAGTTGGTATGGTATTATCAAGGACTAGGGGAAAGGAGGAACCTGCAAATGAAGCCCCTTTGACTTTTCCCTGAAGATGGCCTGGAATTAGAACATCCTACAAGGTTATAGGAAGTTATGGAAGCAGCTTCTATGAAAATGATTTTGTGCTAGGTAGTGGAGGGATTGAGAAATAGGTGGTAGCTTCCCATTTATGGTCCCTGGTAACTTGGCATCATAGTCTTATACTATTGTAGAAGTTTTGCAAAGTGTATGGCAAAAAAACCAAAAAACAAAAAACTAAGGTATGTCAGGTAGCATCACTGATTGAGCAACTTATCATTGGCTGAGTACCAGGTAGCTACTATTGGCTTATAGTCGCAGTTCTGTCACTAACTGATACTGAGCAAATCATTTTATATCTCTGAGCCTCATCTGTCCAATTAGGTAATTGGATTAAATAATCTACAAAGTCTCTTCCAATTCTAGTGTCCTGAGAAACAAAGAAGACATAGTTATTTCTACCTATATGCTTAAGAGTTTAGTCAACAAGAAATAGAGCCATATAAAATTACTTCAGAATAGTTACATCAATGCTGAAAATATACAAGTTAGTGTAACCTATGTAGTACAAATTGATTTCATGAGTGCTGATGGGATGCAGGATAAAGACAATATTTAATAGTCTAGGTCTAATCAGAAAAGTTACTGAAGAAAGTGAGTTTTGAGCACATTTTTAAGATTCAAGGTCAATCTAGATTACTAAAATGAAAGATGATACAGTATGATTTGGAAAGCTAGTGATAAAGTATTAGATATTATATTATATTTGAGCTACTTATTGGCTTGTGACCCTGGACAAATTATTTCATGCCTTTGGTCCTCTGTTTTCTCATCTGTGTAACAGATGTACACATTGACAAACCAAGGTCCCTAGGGAGCAGCTGATGACTATTTCTCTCAGGATTCAGTGGGTAATCCTGAGAGTCTGGGGTTTCTAATACAATTATTACACATGGGCCCTCACCAATGTACTTCCTATTTATCATCAGCCAGTAACCTCAATGACTTTTAGCAAAAGTATTTATTAAGTATACTAAGAACAGTTATACTAAGATCAGTTGGTACAAAACATTTCTCCCCAAAAGCCTACAGTACATTCTCTCATGAAATACAAAGTCCAGAGTAAAAGTGGGCTTAAACTATAGTATAGTGGTAGTAAGGCTCATGTAAAGAATAGGTGTGGACAAAGGGTAAACTCTGGGTTTTGGGAGCTCCTTTCTTGATGTCATAACCAGGTTCATGGTCCTTGAGGAGGTTGTTCCCTTAGGTGGCTGTCTTTTGACATCCTTCTGTTTGTGTTTGTGTTTGTTGTGATTCTTTTTGCTTTGAGTTGAATGTATTATCTCCTTTTAGTTCCTTCCTTCTGATGAAGTAGTCAATTAAAACGGGGGGGGGGGGGGGGAGCGCCTCGGGGAGAAGGGAGAAAAAGTGAAACTTTTCTTTTCCACAAGAGTTTCCTTTCAGGGACTGGCTCAAACTGTAATCATTACCCATAGAAATCTTCTGTCACTGGGTTAGATCACTGGATTCACCAGTAGACTGCCTGTTATTTTATACATAGGCCAAATGATGATGATAGATCCTCTTAGCCAATAGTAGTGCTTTCTTTTTTGACCCAATCAAAGAGACTCACAGCTTATAAACACATCTTGTTTACACATTTAAAACTTCATCACATTCATTGGTTAATTAATTCGAGTAGAGGAAGAACCTCACTCTTATACCAATAAAATGAAGGGGTTGGATTTGATGACTTAGTCCCTTCCAGCTCTAAATATATGATCATCTGAATATTTTTGCTGAATATGATGGAGTGCATTGAGAGCGTGATCTTTAATTTCATAGACCTAACTTCTCTTGTCTTAGATTACTATGAAAGTAAATATAGGTTGTGGGTCAAGATATCTGAAATGAAGTATAAATGATAGATAATGAGTAAAAGAATTCCTACTTTTGTAAGGCAGGTCCACCTCCAAGTTCTAGTCCAAACTGAAGATGCCTTGTTTGAATTGGCCAGTTTAGGATTCCATATTTTAAAAGTTTCATCACTTTAGGGGAAGCACTGCTCACAAAAACAGTTGAATTAATGCTAAAGATACCAGCGTCAATAAATGGACTTTACTAATGGAAAAATAATGTGAATAAATAGTCAAAATTTTCTAAGGTTAGTAGAAACCCAACTATAAAGTTGGAATTATTCTTTCTGAGAGAGGACTCAGAAAAATGTTCTAGGATTCCTGTGTCCAGCTTAAGGACCATTTGTAGTCAAAACTATAAGGGTTAACCTTTATTATATGAGATGGTTTATTGGAAAGGTTCTACTCTGTAATGAATAGATATCCTTACATAATGGTACTGGAGACAAGGAAATTAGTGGCATCCATTACAGACAATGGCTTTATTATACCTTCTTTAATGAAACAATGTTAACAAAAATTTCAAAGAATTGGAGAGTCTATCAAAGAACAACAAAAAATTCTTTCAAGGGTACCTGTTGGAATCAATAATGACAACTAGATTACTGAGCCTTAAACAAACATAACATACTAAAGAAACACATTATTTGTAGAAAAGGGTTCAGAGGAAAAAAGATCTTTGTAATGAAATGGTTACATAAACAAATTGTGATATACATATGTAATGGAATATTGCTGCATTATAAGAAATGAAGAAAAAAAGAATACAGAGAAGCATAAAATGACTTGTATAAATTAGTATATCTAAAGTGAATACTCAGAATCTCCGACAGTAAATAGAATGACTGCAACAGTGTCCCTACAAAGACTGCAACAAATGGAAAGAACAGTAGCAAAATAACAAAACAATTAGAACTAAATTCTGCAAAGTTACAAAGAGCAAGCATGGCCCTAAAGAAGAGATATGAAAAACCCCTTCTCCCTCCTATTTGAAGAAGTAGAGACCATTTATGTGGAATACTGCATATAATGGCAATTTGTTATATATTGACTAGTTTTATAGAACATGTTTTCCATTTTATTCTTTATTATAAGGACTTGCTCTCTGGGAGGGAGTAGGAGCAGCAACACAGTGGGAAATGTAACTGATGCAAAAGCTAAGGATAACAATAACATTTTATTTTAAAAATGAGGAAAGAAGAGGGTCCACTTTAAATGCCTGAGGTCACATAGCAGATTAGTGGCAGAAAAGGAGATAGAACCTAGGTCTTCTGATTCTTAGTTGAGGGCTTTTTCTTTTAAAAAAAATTATACATTTTATTTTGAATTTAACAGTTGTCAGTAAATGATCAAAAGAACAAGAAAGAAACTTGTATGAGAAACTGATCTTCTGTGAGTTTTTTTTTAAGATACACACATAAGACTGTATGTTCATTTCTTCATTTGTTTTTTTTTCTATGTATTCTACTGTGATCTGCTATCTTGCTATTTGTAATCTCTAAGGATATTCACTTAGGTTATAATTAGCATATAGAAAAGGTATCCTTCAACCTTGTCTCCTCTCAGAAATTTTATCATGATGTTTCACTGTGTTTGGAGTAACACATTTAAGAGAAATTCTCTTGGCCTAAAGCCATAGCTT